TATTCCTTTTCACTGCGTCTCATATGTTTTTAAATGCAATCTGTGTGATCGGCTGTTTGTATTAAGCAATTCATAAATACGTGATGCTGTTTTGTTCATAATTGTTTATGCAATTTACGAAATTATATTTGATTTATATGAGTTAATTTAGACGTAATGCACGTTTTTTTATAGACAGTTATTTCCTTGCGTTGTGCTGCATTATATTGCTCATTGTGCCCTCCTGTGGCCTCGGGAAACAAGCCAAAAGTTTAACCTATTTAATCTGCATATAAAACATTAGAAATGAGATATTTGTTTAATTTTTATTTTGTGTTTGACTGTTAAAACAAACAAAAAAAATTGTTGTTTGTCTCAATAAATTGAGTTAATTTAAAAATACAGTGGTTAAATGTAAACATTTTTTTCTATTGCTCTTTGTTTTAAAAAAGGTTATAAAAAATGTCAATAATTATCGATACCGAACGATATGAAACATTATATCATTGATACATTTTTTAACTATATCGCCCAGCCCTAACAAAAACTCACCCTTCTCTGTGAGAAATAATCAAAATTATTGAATATCATTAGTAATTTGGTGCTGGTGTCATGTTCTGCAGGGTTCGTAGAGAAGGAAATTAAGAAAGCCAACATTCCAACAATGGACACTGGTGAGAATCCTGAAGTCCCATTCCCACGAGACATGATTGACCTTGAGGTAATTTTACCCTCTCATGACCTTAATGGAATCATTCTGTCTGAATAAAAATGTTGTCATTCACTCACCCTCATATAGTTCAAAACACATATGCTGTTATTTTTTGTGGAACATAAAAAAAGGCGAAATTTTAAAGAATCTTCATGCAGCTCTGGTGGGGCCAAAACAGTCTGTTTCCATCAGTTTGATGGAAGACTTTTCAGCAATATTCAAACAATTGAACAAAAAAGCACCTTTTAAGCTCTTACCAAACCCTTTCTTCCATCTCATATGTTCACTCAGTGGCAAGGTGTCAGAATTTTCTATACCTGGTTATGGAAACCTTTGGGAATATTTTGATATTTGTATTGTTAGTTTATAATATCCTTAATTTCTATTTATATTATTGATCACTAGGCAACCTTTGAGAAGCTGGAGAATGAGCTGAAGGAAATCAACACTAATCAAGAGGCCCTGAAGAAGAACTTTCTAGAGCTGACAGAACTCAAGCATATCCTCAGACGTACCCAGCAGTTCTTTGATGAGGTCTGGCTGTTCTCGCACAATATGATCACAAACTTCTTAGAGTGTGAGAAGAAAAAAATTGACAAAAATCACCAAGACATTTCAGGTGTTAGTTATTTAACCCTTTGATCCATGATGTCCACTACAGGGGAAAAATCTTTAAAAGCCACTTTATCCATTCACAATGAGATGTTACATAGAAACTACCTTTGACCCTTACCCTTTAGATGGAGGATCCAAATCTTTTGGAAGAATCATCATCTCTGCTGGACCCCAGTGAGGCTGGTCGAGGTGCCCCACTGCGACTGGGGTGAGCTCTAAGATGCTGATATATACTGTATATGTAGCTGATATATATATTATTATATATAGCTGTATATAACTATTCTAATATAATGGTCAGTAATAAAATTAAGATCAAAGAATCAAATTGTAAAGGTAATGTAAAATGTAACTAAAATATAAAATACATAAATTATTTAATTAATATAAAATAAAAGTACCACAATTATTTGAACTGAAAAGCCAATTCCATTCATGTCACATGCTGCTAAACAGCACGTATGGTAAAGGCAGATGAGAACACTTTTAGGCAGATTAGTAATTAACAGATTATTATATTAATAACATTTATTGTTTTACTATTTCTTTTACTATTAATATGGAATTTGAGAGTTTTTGAGTGAGAGATGTTTCTTTCTGTTCACTGTTTTCCCTCACTGTTTAAGAATTTAGTCACTAGATCTCATAAGAAGTGACTTTCATAATTTGGAAGATATTTAGAACATATAATAAAATGGTTTATGATTGTGTGTTTAGGATTTATTAAAGTCCTGTTTATCAAAACCTTTATCTCACACAAAGACAATATGTACACTGTAAAAAATTGTAACATAAAACCTCTGTGTACTCCCTGTAGGTTTGTGGCTGGGGTTATAAACCGGGAGAGAATCCCCACGTTTGAAAGGATGCTGTGGAGAGTCTGCCGTGGAAATGTCTTTTTACGTCAGACAGAGATTGAGGACCCTCTTGAGGACCCCACAACCGTTAGTGTCTATTCTTATTCGAAATTCTTATTCAGTTCAGTTAAGATGTTTGCATTTGACATTTTATATTCCAGCGTCAGCGTGATAAAATATTGATCTGAAGTTATGGGTCTTTGTTCATCACAGGGAGACCAGGTGCACAAATCTGTGTTTATCATCTTCTTCCAAGGAGACCAGCTGAAGAACAGAGTGAAGAAGATCTGTGAAGGGTGCAGCATGGTCTTTTATGATCTTTAATTATGCACATAATTTCATCCAATGCTAATCACAGATTTTAAACTTCATCTCCAGGTTCCGTGCATCTCTGTACCCGTGCCCTGAGACCCCTCAGGAGAGGAAGGAAATGGCATCAGGTGTCAACACCCGCATTGATGACCTCCAGATGGTATGCTGTCCCAAAAAAGTCTTACAGTCAGATTTTTCTCCCATCTGTGCTTTTCTTTTTCTCAACTTAATATTGTTGATTGCATTTAAACTCTGTTTGAACTTGACCTCATAAAACCAAAAATAGCATAAAATGCCCTAACGTATTTCAAATGTTGATCATCCAGTGTTTGATGTGTTTTCAAACATATAGGTACTGAATCAAACAGAAGACCACCGGCAGAGGGTTTTACAGGCTGCTGCGAAAACCATACGTGTGTGGTTCATCAAAGTGAGGAAGATGAAGGCCATTTATCACACTCTGAACCTCTGTAACATCGACGTTACACAGAAATGTTTGATCGCTGAGGTCTGGTGCCCCGTTTCTGACCTTGATTCTATTCAATTCGCTTTGCGGAGGGGAACAGTGAGTAATACTAATCGATATTCATTATAAATGATTTCAGCCACTGAGATGTTATTTCAGCCATTCAATACACAAATGAAAGCAATGAAACAATTTACAATTCACTTGTCATGATATTAAAAACTCATGCTTATATGCTAAAATTATTGAAATTAGTTTTGTAGACTATTTAAATTGTGCTTCTATTTATTATTATTTTTACTATGCTTAAATTGTAATTACATGTAACAATAAATGGATTGGAGCAGATAGTGAAGGAAAAGCATCCAACATACATGTAAACTACTTCAATACTGTTTTAAAACCATGCCAGGATGCACCTCCTGAAGTTGATTGTATTTCAGTTTGTGTTATTTTATAGATTATGTGATTTTACTATTGTGTGGATATAATGTGGATATACATGACTTTACTATATTTGTGGAAATATTGCTAAAATGAGTATATGTGATTGGCAGTGTACTTTAAAGGTTACACTTTATTTTAGAAACTGCAATTACATGTCAACTACTTAGAGCAGGGTTCCTCAAATCTTGCCCTGGAGTGCCAATGCGCTGCAGAGTTTAGCTCCAACCCTGATCAAACTCACCTACCTGTGATTTTCTAATGATCCTGAAGACATTGATTAGCATGCTCAGGTGATTTTGATTAGGGTTAGAGCTAAACTCTGCAGGAAAGTGGATTTCGTGGGCCAGATTTGAGGATCCCTGACTTAGAGTATTAGTAGACTGTTCGGGTTAATAGAGTAAGTTGACAAGTACTTGCTAAGTTACTTATAGTCAGTAGAATGTCTGTTAGGGGACCATCAAAGCAGATATTAAGAAGACAGTGTATGAGAAGTTTCAGAATGTTAGTAGCATGTCTAAAGGGGACTGTCAAAATAAAGTATTACCACACTGTAAATGTAATAATACTACAATGGTAATAATGACAATTTAATCAAGTTTTTTTTTTTTAATGTAGGAACGGAGTGGCTCCACAGTTCCCTCCATCTTGAACCGAATGCAGACCAAACAGACTCCACCTACTTACAACAAGACCAACAAGTTCACCTCGGGTTTCCAGAACATTGTGGATGCTTACGGTATTGGAACATACAGAGAGATCAATCCAGGTACCAACACAGAAAATATAACAAAAACATCTTTATAAGATTTTGAAAACAACCATACTTTTACTATTTGGTTTACCAATGTGCAGTCCACTTTTTCTCAGGTAATAAATTATAACTTAGTTTTTTTAACACATGTATGATTGGATTTTTCTGTTTTGTTTCTTGCAGCTCCATACACAATCATTACATTCCCGTTCCTGTTTGCTGTCATGTTTGGGGACATGGGTCATGGAGTGCTGATGACATGTGCGGCACTTTATCTGGTCATCAGAGAGAGCCGCCTGCTCGCGCAGAAGAGTGACAATGAGGTCTCAGCTGATCAATAATTATTACATTTAAGAAATATAAAATTTGGTGGTTTTAGTGTACTTCTAAATGTTAAAAATGAACCTTTAGAAGATATAAAAAATTAACATTTGTACATTCACATTTATAATACAGACAGTTGACTATTTAAAAAAAAAGGACATTTAAGGCAATCAAACCAATACATGAAGTCTTTAACATACAATTACATAATATAACAAGATATCATAGTGTAATCATGAAGTCAAATTCAGAGGTGCAAAATTGGTATGAATATTTATGATGTTATTTGAGGATTGTTCATAAATGTAAAAGTCATAAATGTCTAACCTTAGTTTTTATTTTCTCTCCCCTCTTGTGTGTAGATGTTTAGCATGATTTTTGCGGGACGCTACATCATTCTTTTGATGGGGATATTCTCAGTCTACACCGGATTGATCTACAATGACTGCTTCTCCAAATCCCTCAACATGTTCGGCTCAAGCTGGAGTGTGCGGCCCATGTTTTTCCCTAAGGGAAACTGGACGTAAGTTCACAAAATGACATCAGTAAAACAGTTAGAATATAATCAAACAACATCAGCAATCGTACAATCTTAATTTGATTGTCAAATGAATTTATAATGAAAATAACAAAAAGCAAAACATTAAAACAACATGTAAAATACAGCGTCTCATCTCATTTGTACTGCTGAAAAGCAATTATTATATCCTGACTAACATTCACTTTTTAACGAATGTGATAATCTGCTATTTCTATCTTATGTATTTGTAGGTTTGAGACTCTGGATGGTAACTCAGTTCTTCAGTTAGACCCTGCTGTTCCTGGCGTGTTTGGTGGCCCTTATCCCCTGGGCATCGACCCCGTATGTATCACAAAACTCATTCATGCAGTATACACAAAGACATGCAGAGACAGCTTAGACAAATAAATTAATTCACACCTCAGACACATTTTTACATCATGCATTTTTACTGCAGTGCCCGCATTGTATGTTGACAAAATTCAGCATAAGTGTACACAAATAAGGTGCTTGAAACAGAATGTGATGTTCATAATCTTTTGTAGTGCTTTAAATAAGCACAATTAACAGTATTGTATAGTACTGTACATAACACATGTTAAGTACTTATTTATCATTTGAACTGTATTGTGATAGCCAACATTACTTTTAAAATTATTACTAAATTGCAACATCATAATTACAAACATGTAATTATAAATATATTTATAGAAATAGAAATTACAAATTGCATACATATTATATATAGTTTAATTTAAAATAAATAATTGTCAGTACATCTGGCAGTACAGTTTAACCATATCTCAAAGGCAAATATAATTAAGAAATTACACACATAGTTGTATTTAATATAAATTCACGTTTTCATTTTATTTCAACAACATGCAATTAAGTGTCCAAAAGCATTACATACAGTTTTCACTTAAGTATATCTATTACATTATTTCTGTAATTAGTCATCTTTTTTCAAAAATATGCTAAAATTTACTTCTTTTTCACAAAAGGAATTAAAGGAAAGAGGATTAGAGGCCTTTTACATAGAATCTGGTCTTTGAGTGTAGACAGAATGGGACAGAATATGTCTTCAGACATTTTTGTAAAAGTTGAGAGAAAAACACCTTGTCAGACAACATTTTTTTTATGCTGTATTGCATATGTGCAAAGACCCAATAATTACCAAAAAGCACAAATGAGACCACCTCTTCCTCTGTACTTTTACATTGTTATGTGTAGTATTATAAACGACCAAAATAGTTCTTCAGTTCAAATGATAACAAATCTACAGAGATGCTGTTATAAGATGCTGTTCTACTAATACTTCTCTTTTAGATTTGGAATATTGCCACAAATAAGCTGACATTCCTGAACTCATTCAAGATGAAGATGTCTGTAGTCCTGGGTGTCATTCACATGCTGTTTGGAATCACGCTGTCCCTCTTCAATCACCTGTAAGTGTGTGTTCAAATGTGTGCGTGTGAAGTAGCTAGTGTACGAATTAATGACAGGGAATTGTCATTTCATGTATTGTTCTAACTACAGATTTTTTCATGTGTCTCACAGTTACTTCAAGAAACCTCTAAACATTTTCCTGGGTTTCATTCCTGAGATTGTGTTCATGAGCAGTCTGTTTGGTTATCTGATCCTGCTCATCTTCTACAAGTGGACGGCTTACGATGCAGCGACATCTAAAGATGCTCCCAGTCTTCTGATCGCCTTCATCAATATGTGTCTTTTCAACTACAATGATCCTACCAACAAACCCTTGTACAGAGGACAGGTACCACACATTTACAGAAAAAAAATAGTTGTAGGTGGATGGAAGTCTGATTAGAATCAGATAGAATTTTGGTCGGATCTCTTTCTATGTGTGCATAGGTGGGGATTCAGTCTCTGTTGGTGGTGATAGCTCTGGCGTGTGTGCCCTGTATGCTGGTGGTGAAGACTATGGTCCTGCGCCGTCAGCACCTGTGGAAGAAGCACCTGGTATGTTTATTTACTCTAATCAAAATCAGCCAAACGTCATCTTTCTCTTTCATTGTATGTCATTAATTCAGAGAGCGTGATACTGAAGTGGAATGTTGAAAGTGTTTGTTTTGTTTCATTGTCCATGATAAACGCAGACTACATAAATATTAGTAGATATGACAAACAAACAGTCTTCTGATATTGGGGTTTGGAGTTATAGACTGTGAACATTGTGTTTCCTCAGATGTTTTTAACAGCATGCCATGGGACAAAGCCAAGTATAACACCTTCACTGAATTTCTTCATAAATGTATATCTTGTGTGTATATATGTGTGTTTGATAGAGTAGAATTGTGCATGATTTTTCATCTGTTTAGGTAGGCTCACATGAGATTATGAAGGAGGAGGCAACTCTAATTTGGCCCAATGGGGCACCTACCATGCTGCAAGGCTTTACAGCAGGTTTAAGATTGTTTAGAATAGTTAGATAAAAGATAATAGGTAATATATTACTTGTGTTCAATTCACATGACAGTTTTAATCAATAGAAAGTACTGATGTTCTCAAAATTATGAAATATTTGATGATTGATGATGATGATTTTTTTTTTTTGTTGAGAAAAATACTAATCATTTTAAGATTAGAGTGGAAAGACACTCTGGAGAACAAAGATTTTTTTTTTACCATAATGCACAGGGGCATCTCTACAGTTTTTTTTAGTGATACAGCTAATAAGGCTGAAGTTCATCATAATGTGGAACTAGTATCAGTTCTTGTTGAAATCAGGAAAAATCTGTCAAATTCATCAGGATGGATTTTAAATTTTGTAAATCCATCTTGAAAGTGGCAAAAATGCCCCAGAGACTATTAATGTTTTTGTTTTGTTTTAACCTTTAAAGGAATAATTCACCCAAAAACGATTTGAAAAAATACTCATTCTCAGGCCAGCCAAGTTGTTGATGAGTCTATTCCTTCATATGAACAGTTTTAGAGAAATTGAGCATTACATCACTTGCTCACCAACGGATCCTCTTCAGTGAATGGGTGCCGTCAGAATGAGTCAGAGTTCGAACAGCTGAAAAAAAATAAAAAGAATTTTAGGTGAGCTATCCCTTTAACTTTTGATATACAGTAAAAGTGTAGTTAAAGGGATAGTTCACCCAAAAATTTGATGTTTATCTGCTTACCCCCAGGGCATCCAAGATGTAGGTGACTTTGTTTCTTCAGTAGAACACAAACGGAGATTTTTAAGTCAAACCAAACCGTTGCAGTCTGTCAGTCCTATAATGTCAGTGGATGGGAATCACGGCTTTGAGAGTCATAAAACATACACAAACAAAACCAAATTAAACCCTGCGGCTCGTGATGATACATTGATGTGAAAAGACACAAAACGATCGGTCTGTGCAAGAAACTGAACAGTATTTATATTGTTTTTTACCTCTGATTTTCACCGCAATGTCTGAACTGTCCTGTGCGGGATCGCGTCTTCTTCTTCTTGCTTTACGGCAGATTGCATACTTATAAGTGCATTACCGCCACCTATCTCTCAAATGGACCATTGACACTCTATCTACAATCTCAATTGGGAGTGTCAATGGTCCATTTGAGAGATAGGTGGTGGTAATGCACTAAGAAGTCTGCGAAAGTGCACTAATAAAAATACCCTTGAAAATCAGTGTCAGAGGACACAAATTTTCCCTTAAGTTTCCTTTAAGTTACTTTAGTTCATTTCTGATACAGGCCCAGCTACATTGCGATTGACAGGTGTAGCTCCATTGTGTTTGGTAGGTGCCCCAAACAGCTGTACGAAACACAGCATACACTCAGACGGCCCATGGCGTGCTGATAGCCACACAGACCTTGTTTGTATTTAGTCCCAGATGAGGGAGGCAAGACCTGCAAAGAATCTAGAAACTTTAGAGCAGACAGGCTCACCCACCGGACTCACCCAACAGGGCACGCAGAAGTTCGGTGGCGTCCGGATCGGAAACGGGCCTACAGAGGATGAGGCGGAGATCATTGACCACGACCAGCTCTCGCAGCACTCAGAGGAAGGAGATGAGGTGGGTGGAGTCTGTGCTGTCAGCCAGTGGTACGTGACATATGGATTTATTTGAATTGGGAACATCACTCTAATAATGTTTTTTTCTGATATTTATTGGTGCATATTTCTCACACACATAAAAATACAACCTAATCACAACAGCTTAGAAACATTTTGATGGCACACAGAAAGACATTGTTAGAGTGATGTTTTCTTGTGAGATGTTGTAGTTTGTGGTAAAGAAACCATGGTTTATATACTACCAATGTTTTAAGTGTATCTGCTTAGACAGAAAGACTGATTAAAGGATTGTTATCCTACAGTAATTTGAGAAATGTAAACAGAGGAGTAACTTCTCACTGAGTCTCTGTGAGCAGTCTGACTCACCCGCTCCAAACATACCCACCACTGGAATGTGCAAAATATTTTCATCCTCTGTCTTAACTTTTGACATTGCCCTGAACCCTGTGTTCCATCATGTGCTGAGCAGATTGAAAAAATACACTTGAATTAATTAAAAGCTGCTTTCTTGGTAGCATAATATTTTAGATAGGGTGAATCTCATGAAACCTGTCATGAATATTTCCAAATAATATTTTACACCAGAATCAATAAAAAATACATAGTTATATTTTGCATAAAGAAAATGAAGCATGTTTTTAAGACCATTAAGATTGTTTTTTATTAAGTATTTTACTCTTAAGTTCTAATTACTCTAATGCTAAAAAATATTTTAATTGGGAAGTGTTTATATTTTATAGTAGCATTTGTTGTAATACCTGATTCAAATAAAGTTTATTGTATTACATTGTTTTACTGTAATGTAGTAAAAATATATTACAGTCATGGGAATCATCATTGATAAAAATAAAACCAGATCCATTACAGCTGCAATAAGAAAAGGGCTTTATTGTTATAAAAATAATGTCACAATGCAAACAAATCTTAATACTTATATAAATATATTACTTAAATATACTTAAATACTTATAGTATAATGCTTAATAAAAATTAAACTAAATAGCAAAAGTTGGTGTGACTTAGACGTTTTCTTGAGATTCAACCTATTAGATGTTTTTGTGAGCACGCATCTTGACAATTTGAACAAGTAACACATTTATGTAATTAGGGGTTCAAGCACGTAGCGCTGAAACCCTATTGTAATTGTTAGGATTTTTATTATTATTATTCCGACGTAAAACTGATTGTGCAGACCAAACCGTAAGGCCTAGAGACTTGAAACCAGGCCAGATGGTGGGTCTCAATGTAGGGGAGAGCCTGACAAGGTATGACCCCGATTGGCCAATAGGGGGCGCTACAGCAATCAACAACACGAAACTGCTCATAACTCCTAGACTGTTTGACCGTTATCATTGGAATCCTTGGCTCAAGACGAACAAAACGTACTGTATATCTCTGATTTAATTTCCGCCATTTTGAATTTTCTGAAAAATCTGCTTTTTCGAACTCCTCATAGGCCGTTTGTCTGATTCACTAGAAACTTGCTATACATCATCTAGAGACCTTCCTGGTCAAAAGAATTTTGATCGGTGATTCACTCGTGACGGGACGCAAAAAGGTTCGAAGTAGGCAGGGCCACTTTCACTTAAATGGTTATAACTCTTGAATGAAATTAGATATTTTCACCAAACTTGTCATACTCATGTACGAGCCTATAAATCTTAAATGCTTTTGTGTCGGCCTAGACCCTAACACCATAGATGGCATAAAGGTCTTAATACGCTTGAACCCCGATAAATGCTGCTTGCAGCTTTAATTTTATTTATTATTAAATGTTAGTGTCATCACTATTATTGATGTGTGGTCTGTTTAAAACACAATGGAAACAGAAAGTTAGCTATATGATGATTCAATGATTTTGGAATGCACTGAAGTTTTGAAACTTGTTTTGAAACAGTGATTATTTATGGCCATCCGAATTGAATCTTTCTGTAATTTATTATTATGAGTAACATGATGAGTTATGACTGAGGTGAAGGTCTGTGGTATTACTCACACATGGCATTAATTGTTCGTGGTGAAAGAGGATTCCATAGATCCTCGTCTACTGAGATGGAAAAATTTTGTATGAGTGTAAAGTGCAAACATAAGGACAGGATCCAGCATGCACATATCAGAATATTGAATAATAGTAGTCTATCAGTGCTTGGTGCACGTGTGCCAGAGTTAAAGAGAATACTACACACATTACACACTTGCTAAAGAATGGGTTTCCTAACAGATTGCTTTCTTTGTCTGATCTGTAACCTTTGACCTGCTTTACGTATCATTCTCATTGGTATGCATTAACATTTCATGCAATTAATTTCACATGAATTAGAAACATTAATACTGTTCTCTCTGATTTATCTAAAACACTGTTCTCTACTTTTCAAGCATTCAGAGGAAGAACCGGTAAGAGAATTTTCTGTATTGTTCTGTTACTTTTGCATTTACATAATCTTTTTTGATAAATCATTATATAAATTCTTCATGGAAAGAATTCATAATAAATATTTGTTCAAATGCATTTTATTTAAATGAACAGCTTATAAATAGATGATGTATGTAAATATAAAATATACTCAAAATAAGTAATTTCATAATTTTCTCAAAATATTCAGTGCAATCAAACAGTGAAAACATTGTTAAATTGTTTTGAATGTACATGTAGGTTGATGAAAAGGTCATTCGTGACCCAGCTTATAAATAGATGATGTATGTAAATATAAAATATACTCAAAATAAGTAATTTAATAATTTTCTCAAAATATTCAGTGCAATCAAACAGTGAAAACATTGTTAAATTGTTTTGAATGTACATGTAGGTTGATGAAAAGGTCATTCGTGACACACTGCAGTTTCTTATTTCTATACATGATTGTTAGAATTATGTAATATCCTTGATATTGTGTTATTGAGTTAATGCACACTAGTGTAATCTATGCACTATGTCACTCAATAACCTTGGCTTTCTGGTTCCTATTATATCCTGGTAACACACCTCTGCTGTAGAACAATGAGTGTGTTACGTCAGGGTTTCCATGATGGCTTCTGAACCATTCGACACTCTTAACAATAGAGTCAAGTGGAAAAGGGAAACCAGCCTCTGCCAAGCCAAACTTTACAAGACTTTACAAGTGGGAAGAATCAGTCCTATCTTTTCCCTCTTGATAAACACACCTGATATCGGTGCTCCTTCAATTATTATTATTTTTTTTTTATGCTGAGTAAAACTTATTTCTATTGAACCTAATCTTTGACCACCTAAGCACCCTGGACATGTTGGTGGACTCAAGTGCTGTCCATTCATTTAGGCCATGTTCAGATAGATTTTTTTTTTTTGTTCATAACAAACCACATGGAATCTGATCTTTTCGATTCTAATTTGGGCCACTTCCATATATGGGAATTCGTGCAACTTTTGTGACACTCTAGATCAACATTTATCACAATCTAAATATTTTACATAACATAGGTCCTTGGTCACTTGGTTAATATGGAAGACAGCTGCAAAGTTAGTCAGTGGGGGACAGTGAGGTGTTAGAAGTCATAAATATTACAGTAACAGCTCTATACAAGCCAAACTTTTTTCAAAATGTAAATGCGAAAAACATCCTCATCCTCGTTGCCTGTGCACAAAATTGTTGGCGTCAGTTACATTAATTACATTATATAAATAGACAAACAAAAAAATTGGATATGAGCATTAAATGAGAATGAGAATTGAGCACTAAGGCTTGCAATGTAGCCTGTCCGTTTCCAGTTATCTCTAGTGTTTTTTGTTTTTTTTTCATACAGTTTTGGGTTTGTGCACCCCTGGAAACCATTTCATACATACATTTCATTCATATAGCATGCATAAGCATGTACATAGTATGTATCTGTAAAGCCAGTAAACATTTCCATCCATCTATTTTCCAAACCACTTATCCATAGGGTCTGGATGGCCAGTCAGTTGCAGCACTCTGCATATATTATAAAATAAACTTTCAGTAAAGACTTTTCATAGAACAGTGTTTTTGTACATACACTGCTCATGACTTGACAGAAGGGGATCTGTGATCTTTAGATGGAAAATTAAAAAAACATGCTTGTCACTCTGTAATCTCTCTGGACTGTTAAAAGACAGGAAAAAGATCACTGACATCACAATCACAGCTCTATTGTTCTCAACACTAATGACACCATGCATCTTACATCTTACACAGTATGAAAATATTATGATGGAAAGTGAAGATGAATTACAGAGCCAGTGCTCCTTAATAGAAGAGTGCTGTTTTCTACTGCTCGTTTATCATTTCTTAATCAGATAACACTTTACTAGCCACATTTGCATAAAACTTGGCTTCAGTTTAAGAAGCTTCCAGTAGAAGATGGATTGGATCCTACGTTGAAAGATCATAATTGACCCTTTCCTGTATTTTTTTTTTGTTGTTGTTGTCTGTAGTTTAACTTTGGAGATGTGGCTGTTCATCAGGCCATTCACACTATAGAGTACTGTCTGGGCTGCATCTCCAACACTGCCTCATACCTGCGGCTCTGGGCCCTTAGTTTGGCTCATGCTCGTAAGTTCATATACACACACAATCACACACACACGCATGCACACACAAATATTCACAACACAGGCTCATTCAAATTTAACTCACTCATTGTCTGTCTATCAGAGTTGTCTGAGGTTCTTTGGGGAATGGTGATGCATCTTGGACTGTCCTCGAGGAGTGGTGGTGGATTCTTTGGCCTGTCGATCATTTTCTCTGCCTTTGCCATGCTAACAGTGTGCATCTTACTCATCATGGAGGGACTGTCTGCATTCCTGCATGCTCTGCGCTTGCATTGGTGAGATAAACACACACATCAACACACAGGGCTGTAATTTACCAGTGCAACCACACAAATTAATTTAAACAATTCATCTTTAACATTTTTATAGACATTTTGAAGACTTCACCCAAAAAAATACCATTTGAGCTATACATCTAGTTCAGTCATGAAACTCTAGATGGGTCTTCTGATAGGTCTTCTTCATGCAATATGTTAGCAATCGCATCATTTATTACACAGCACAAGCTGAATAGCCTCTGTTCATTCTACAGCTAATAAGATTGTTTGCTCAGCATTTAAATAGTCTGGTTCAGTGTTCACTGTATACTAGTTCTGCCAGTATGCTATCAGAGTTTCTCTGAAACCCACCACCTCCACCAGCTCCACCTGTCTACATCTGCTATGGTATTTATGTATGCCTATTTATGCAGCAGCAACATCATATCTTACATGCTCACAGCAGCGTGTCTGTGTATCTGTTGGCAGTAGCAAGTCATATTTGCTCTACAGCAGCATTTGTAGCAGATCTACTCTGCAAAGACGAAATACATTAAAATTGTCATATCCAATAACATGCAAAAACTTGAAGAAAAAAGTTGTCTCTTCTAAAACTGTTTTGTTTTACAATCACTCTATCCTTGACACTCTTTTCTGTTAAGATCTTAATGTGTAGATTATGTCATACTTCTGCTACAGAGGGAAAGAATGTGAAGAGGAAAGGTAAACATATCACTGCCTCTCAAGAATAACTTGTTTTGATAATGATTTTACAATGCAGAAGTGTGTGTGTGTGTGTGTGTGTGTGTGTGTGTGTATATAAATATATATAGACGAACACATTTTAGTTTTAGGTTTTAGGACAACTTGAATGAAAGGTTTTGATACACTTCAAATGTTGGCCACTAGGGATGTAACGATTAACCGCGAGCCAGTTGAAAATCGATTCAAATATGTGACGATTCAAATCAGTTG